TTTCCCAGCACATCTCTGGCCTCAGCATGGCCCCAGCTCAGCTGCTGCTGCAGGTGTGGAGGCCTCCAGGTGGGCAGGAACATGAGTGCCATGGTTTAGGAAGGAGCCTCCTCTGAAATGGATAGTAAAAGGGTTTTTAAATCATGGGGATTTAGGGTTAAAAGGAAAATTAAGCTTAGTAGGCCCTGAAAAAAAAAACAAACAAAAAACCCTAGGTACATGTAGGCCTTGTACCTTGCTAGAATTGCACCTGTGTAGCTACTACATGATAAATGATGTAATTGTTAGATGTGATAATTGTTTAGTAATTAAATATAATTACTGTTTAATCATAAGAATAATCATGAGATTATTCTGTGGTCAGGGGTCTAAGAAGGATCACGAGAAACTCTTGTCAATGTATACAATAGAACAATATAAGTTTAATATGTAAGTTATATAAGGATAGAATATAAAATACTTTCAGCTTGAAAGCCACGTTGGAGTCAGATTTGGGTTGGTACCCCTGATTCCAGAACTCTCCATAGAAGCACCTGCAGATAATCATATCCTGTGATTATGTGTGCTCCTGAACACTGACAAAATGCAAAATGGAAACACCCTCCCTCTGAATTATTATAGTGGGAAATTAAGGGTCTCTCAGGCAAAGATCTGGGAGCAGGAGTAACAGTTCTTTATTAGGGAAGAAAATCAAAACAAAATAAAAGACGCAGTAATACAAAACAGCACTGACAGAGTCACACCTGGCACTGTCATGGTTGGGATGGAGGCAGTGCAAAGCAGCACACTCCATTTTCAGAAGGCTTCAAACTGTTTTAATTCTGGCATGCATGCTTTTTATACATTCTTACAAAACTTCTAAGTTTACTCATTGGTCAGAAAAGACAAAGTGTTCATTGGAATGAACAAAAACTGCAGGTTTCTCTTATTTCTCCTTTCTTTCTTGGTTTCTGTGTCAACGACCTTGGTAGAAAATTCTTCCAGGGGTAAACGTGGATCCTCTTATCAAAATTCTCTCACAGAAATTGCTGTAAAATCCATTCCATGTGGCAGGCTGTGGGTCAGGGAGTTGGTTCGGCCCCTTCCCGGGGGGCTCAGCCCTCCTGCAGTGCCAGCTGTGCTTCTGCTGGAGCAGGATCTGCACAAGGGGGGAGTTTTCCTTGGAGCTCCAGGGCTGGGGGAGATGGGCCTGGGCTCCTCTGGGAATGCAGGGG